GGAAAAAAAAAAAGAAAGTAGTCTAAAGCTCAAGGTCAGAAGACACCACTATATGCTTTATTCAGGATGGTCTTCTGATCACTTTAAATAACTGTGAAAAAGATTGTCCTGTGACTCACCACTTCATCTTTGTCCTCAGGAGTTAGCTGAGCAGAACTTCTTTCTTCTTCCTTCTTGACTGATCTCTCATATAAATCACTGACAATGAACGAGGGGTAGTATCTGTCCTTTAGAGTTTCGTAAACATCTGCCTGAATTCTGTAGAATACTTCAATGCCTTTATTTCCCACAAGACTTTGCTGTATTTCTTTATAAAGGGATTTTTCCACAGGTATTTCCCTGCTTTCCACAAAAAAATTCTGATAAATTTCGCTCACCAGTTGAGGTATTTCAGCCTAGGAAGAAAGGAGGGAGAGGGAAGGAGAAGAGGATAATAAAAAATGTTTAAAAGATCAGGATGACTCAGGATCCAGGTGCATAATTTGAAGGATGATCAAGCTAATTTCACACCCAGATGTACGAGAACACATCTGTGAATCTCTTACTGAGATCCAGCGCTCTGCCTGCGCATCTATGCTACGCTGTCAATTACACAGGATGAACATCGCTATCTCCTACGTGAAGAAACAGCTGTGCTCTAAAATTACCATAGCTTCCACATCCACTGCTTTGAAAAGTATGCTCCAAAAGCTGGTATTAAAAGGGAAAATAAAAAAATACTAGAGCAACACTGTGGCCACCATTTTAAGTTCAGATTGTAGAGTTCAGCTGTATTGGCTCTCCTGTCTTCTGCTGTGTAGTATCAACTCACTTCATATGTGACTAGAATCGGGGGGGGAAAGAAGGAAAATCACACCTGAAGAGACATTTACCAGTACATGAGGCCAGGTATTTCCACTGAGCACAGAACAGCGCACAGGGTTGAACTTTGCAGTAATGAGCAGGAAAGAGAGGAAGTAATGCAGCACAGCCCGTGATCATCTCTCTAAACTACCATCTCTCTCAACTGACTCCAATTAAAAGTTTTTATCTACTCCTTCAGTACGGCACAACGTGCTCGCCTGTCTCATGTGACAATACCACAGCCACATGGCTGCAGGACGCTACTTTTTTGTAACCAAAGCTGCCCTTGTAGTGGCAGACAACCCTCACGTTCCATGGAGCAACAAGAGCAGAGTAAGCTAGAATCTCTTAAAAAAAAAAAAGGGAAGTCTTGAATAAAGGCACTATATGTATTGTTTTGAAAGCAAAGAGAGAAATCACAGCTGAAAGGTCACAAAATGATTTATAGCACCTCTTCCAGTCACATGCAGTTTGCAAATCAAAACCAATTCATACAACTCTCCTCACAGTGCCTGACAAACCCTTTTTATCAACACTTCCGAGCCCGAGTTGGTTGTCAGCCATTTCTTCAGATTGTATTAATGGCTCACTACTCGCACTCCGCAATTTGCCACAATGGACTAGAATCTTTTTTCATAAAAGAGTAACAAAATTACAGCGAATACACAGTTCACTGATACATAATAATGAATTTCATATTTAATGCTAGTGAGAACCCTGGAGATTTAAAACAGTTTCCCCCAAAAAATCCACCCCGCTGCTCAAATAGCAAGTACATCCTCTACATTCTTGCTCTGCACCATTGCTCCAGGATACTTCCTGAAACTTTAAGTGATATTTCCTATCTTTGTTTCAGGGTTCTCATTCCTACTTTATTTTAGCACAAATTACAATATAGAATTGTTTCTCCCCTCTAGCAGTAGTGCAGCATTCCTGGAGAAACTTAGCTGCTTATATAGCAACAGCACAAGGAGAGGAAGGGGTGTTTTAAAGCAAAATCTCTCTTTCAAAAGGATTTTTATAACATACATACACAAATTCCCACAGTTTTAGATTGAATGGGCTACCTGCAATTGGCAAAATGAGAAGTTTACGTGCAGACTATCAAACAGTAACGTACTTGTGAGTTTCACATGAGCTGACACAACAAAAACCAACAGATTACTGCAAGTTCTTTCCCTGGTGGAGTGGGAAGTAATGCTACTACTTTTGCATAACAAATATCCTCTTTACAGGTGACACTGCTACACAGAACAGCAGCAAACCATCATCACCACTGCTGTATTATCCCCAAACGCTGACATGAAGTTAAAATACCTAAATTGCTTAGCACCCATCCTATGCTATTGCTACTTTAAAAACAAATACAAAGACATTTCCTAACACCAAGATCACAACAAGCAGAGATTCCAGTTAATGTACAAGCCACATGGACTTGGAATTTCCTCCACCTTGTTAGCATTCTTCAGATACTCCACGGACTCCCAAAGACCAATCAAAGCCATCTTGTCCATCCTTTCCATGTAGATTCGGAAGTGCTCTCGGTATGAAGGGTTGGCCAAAATTTCTTCAAATTGAAGGATCTGAAAAGAGGGAAACTAAGAGTAAAACCTAGGAAAACAACCTAACTCTAGCTTCTCTCCATCCCTTACAGGGAAAATCTTTTCACTTGATGTGCCCACAGAGCACCATGCATCGTACAAATAAGTAAACTAGATTCAACTGCACAGGCCTTCTACAGTAATAGTTTTGTTTCATATGAGTTGTAAGTATTTATGAGATAAATGTGTCTACGCTCCTATCAGGTAGAAATGTTTACACGTGTTTTTCTGCCCAGGAGGTAAGGCTACATTTCAAAAGTCTAAAATGGCATTGCAAGTCATTCACGAAACACTATTGCCAAAAATTTAACTTCCCGTGTTCCTGTGAGGCAGAGGAGTCAAGCTCAAAGCTGACTGATCTGTTCTTTGCTTGATTCATACAAAGAGCAGCACCAACAATTTCCACGCCACAGACCAGAGAGCTTTGAGATGCATCTCTGTTATTTCCAGGGACACAAAGATGGAGTGCAGTCCTTTCCCCTGGCAGCTAGGGCATTTGGTGGCCAGTTCCCATTAACTGAGTGTTATTGAAAAGCATCTATCATGAATGCAGCCAGGAAGGAGTACGGGATGTGACAGAATGCTCAGGACTCTGCCTCAGATGCAAGAGGAGGGTGTACATCAAGCAGAAGAGGAAATGAAACACAGACTTCCCATCCCCAAGCAGATGAGCAATGAAGCTGTTGGATTAAAAAAACCATTATCGCTTCCTCATCCTCTACTATTTTTGTGAATCCAGACCTTTTGTTTGAGACAAACACCTGAAAACCAAATACCTCCCTGACAAAATGAGCAGATCTTCACATGTTGAACAAAAGTAACAACCTTGGCTTTCTTTGAAAAATAGAACCAATTTTCAAAACACCCTATCAAAACCAAACACCCCTTCCTCTCCAATTTTTCAGTCTGGAAGCTGAACCAGTTTTCACATAGCTCATTTAGTGCCATTACTTGTATCACCAGGAATCCAATTACACCAGGGTGGTCTTGGTCTCTGCTTTGTATCTCACTGACACCAACCAGCCCACACCATTCCCTTTTAAAACAAAAGCAGATCCTTAAGCAGGGAGGTAATGAATTCTATGATTTTGCATTTTATAGTAAAGATAATTTGGTATGGAGCAAGACGTGAATTCCAACCAAGATGGAGGCATTAATAATTTCTCTACTATGTGTTTTCTGATACCTAATAACAACACAGTTCAGGTCATGTATCAGCATCTCTCCATCAGGGAAGGCCACCTATTTTCCTAAATCTAGTACCTATGAGACTCTACCATCAAGCTACATTTGGAAAAAACAGTTTGCTGGACTCAAGCAGCACAGGAGGAAACCACATACACATGCATGTACACAATTACTAGCACAAGTCATTTCCTTAATGAACTAAGCTACAGAAGGTTCTTTGAAAACTGCAGCCACCTATGTTTTGTCTGAAACAGCTCCCCCAAATTTTGGGCAGTGTTTAAATAAACTGTGCTTGTCTCGGCTGAAATGCTCATTTTCATCTTCAGAATTCCTCAGTGACAGTCACGTGCCATTCCTCTCTTCGTCCTTACCATACCAGTATCGTCTGGACACGGCTTGCTCTTCGCTTAAGAGCTATTCAGGGATACGAATGTAACAAACTCCTGCCTCTCAGAGCTCACTATAATCCCCACTGAACAGCACAGAGATGACAATTCAAAGGCCAGTCTGCGGTTTAGCCTCATTGCTGTGCATCAAACGCTCTATTCCATCATTTTATCAAGGACAATGATTTCAATTACAAGTGGAAGAGGGTCTTCTAGTCTCTTGAACAGAGATCTTCGTCACCTCTGGGACTGCCAGCTCTATAAATGATAGCAGAGGTAATAAATTATCTTGGGCAAGAGGTCACCTTAGTCTCCATACCTCTGTTATCCAAGGTAGCCCTTCCCAGGCTGCCAGCAAGGAGAGTAATTAACAAACATCCCCTCTCAAAAGTAATTGTGGGTAAATGCTGCTGCAGGGAGCAAGGCAAGTGCAACCATCCCCCTTGCCTAAGAAAGCACCCACTGCACATGTGCCCCATGGTAATTAAAGTGGTGGTGCCTAATAATGCTGTTACACAAACCTCCCAATAGCTACCTTGCAAACTGAAATGCTTCAACAAAAGAAATCAATGGACGGAAAAGCTTATTTAAAGCTTCTCTTGCAGAAATGAGACCTCACAAACTTTTTTTTAGGTGTTTGTTTCAGGCTTGACTATCCTGGAATTATTAAATACTTATAAACTTTGTACTATAAACATTGTTAAAACTTCAGTGACAACAATGACGGACAAAAGAGGTTTTCAGGTTTGAGGTGGTAAGTTATCCTCAGTGCATGCAATCCAGGAATTACTCTGTGGAGGATCTTTCCTCCTCCGATTTAAAAAACTAGATTCTGCAATAATTTGTAATCCTCAGCAAAAGATCATTTTATGACTCAGGATCACCACGGATTAGAGTACAAAGCTCTCAGCTATGCTGGCACATACACATGCATTAGAGTATGTGTACAGCCTGAAATCTAATATCCAATTAGCAGATATAATCTTAGAATTATCAGCCTCAACAGCAACCCTTCAAGTCCTTTTAACTGGAGAACAGCTTCTGGGTTTGAAAAAAACAGCAGCTTCACTGCTGTCACAGGCATTCCATACTCCAACAGGAAAGTAACTAATACACCACAGCTGGTCACAGGCTCTGCCAAATACTAGCAAATGGTTAGATCTTTAATTTCCCCCCCCCCCAAATCCAGGGCTTTAACCAGCATCCCTAGCATGTGCACACAGAATAGCCTTGTTCCTGGCCCTACAAAGCAGAGAAGACCTGGTCTTGGCAAGTCCCTAAAGATAGCCACAGTCCCCCTCTGGAGAGGAACACCAAACAACAACTTAACTTGGAAGCGCCTGTACAGACACCAGACATGGCATCGATGCACTGTACTACATTTCTTTGCAACACACCAGGATCCCATTCACTACAACCACATTGGCCTACAATGAATAACCACAATACAGCTGGTGATGGCACTACAGATCATGGGCAAGGGGGGAACAGAATTTGGATTAGTAGTGGAGGTTTTCTGCTGGGATGATGGCATGCAGCCAGACTGCAGGACTTCTGCTTTCGTTTGTTTTTTTCTTTTTTGTAGAAGACAGGAATAAGAGGAAAGTAAAAAATAATACTGGAAAAATATGTCTCTCCAAGCTGCATTTTAAAAACCATTAACTCATGCTTTGTCTGTACACTGCCTAAAATAGAAGAACGTCTTACTATTTTTTTTAAGAGAAGGCAAGTCACCAGAAGGATATCTTTGTCATATACAGCAACAGTTGAACCAAATACAGCTACTAGTTACCTATCAGGAAGTATATACTACATAAGGTACCTGGCTATTTCACTTCGTATACACTAATGGAAAAGTCACTGCCTTGAGACTCACGTGTTCATGAACATACTTCTGTCAAAAGACACCCCATCTTCAGGCAACAGGGGAACAACTGAAGCTCGCTTTCTTTATATCCCTAAATTCTGCACCATGAAGTATCCTGACATAATGTGATCTCACAGCCCAAAGCTTGGAAATCACAGTGAGAATCTGACCAGTCCCCAGTTAAATCAGCATCTATCCACGGATGTGGTCAAGGAAGGTCTTCTGCAGGAGTTTCAACTCAGTCCTCACCAGGAGGATTATGAACATGAACTGCCTGCACCTCAAAACAGACTCAGGTGGTTTCCTTGATCTTTCACAGCTAGTCAAGGGTCAGATGCCCAGAGCTCCTCCCACCACCCCATGGGTCACAAAACAGCTCTGCTAAGGAGATGCTGTGACTCCACACATTGAACCTCACAGACGTGGCGAAGTGGCTGTTGTGCTGAACACAACAGATCACACAAACGGTTTGCTGAATAAGCACACACAGCACGAACTCAATTAACTCCTGCAGTACTGTGCAGGTACAGTTTCTAAGAAAAAGGACTGAAACTGCACTGACCATACATAGATTAGAAGAGATGTTTTGTATATTACGCTAATTCAAACTGCGTTTTCTCTGAAAGCAAACCTAACACCCAGGGCAGAGTATAAATCAGTATCAGAGCTAATGAAAGAATTCAGATTCAGAGTGTAGCTGGGGCTTGTTTGTTTGTTTATAAACATTTGATTATAATTCACACATTCAGGATTTCCCTAGAGAATCTGGATTCAGGACAATGAGATGAGTGAAACGTGTGCAAAGTTTATACAGTCCCATGACTTTTATATATTTATCAAACAGAAAACTGGCACTGTTTTGTAATTAGCTGCTGATGTGAAAGGAGAAGAAAAAAAAAAAAAGTATTTCAAAGCACTTAATTTCTGTTTCTTAAATCTCTAAGAGGGTAACACTGACAGCTCCAAATAATCCATCTCCACATTTAAGCTCATAATCAGAACACACATTAAAGACTTTCACCAGCAATGCTATTACCTCCCTACCAACGCAGAAAAGAGAAAGCTTTCTGTGGGATGCAGAAGTGAAACCAAAACACAAGTTCAGGTCACAAGTCAATTTGTTCTTTGTTCAGCTAGCACCAAAAATTCCCCAAAGTTAATAATGTGTTCAAGCTTCTGTACTACACTTACATAAAATAATAATTCAAACTGCCACTGCTGATCTATTTCATGCAAGTTTCAGAAAGGAAGGCAAACTCCAGTTTCTTCTACACAAGCTAGTTATGCTGTGGGTTCAGCGCTAGCTTAACAGAAAAGGTGACACAGCCAGACTCGAAAGGGAAGTTACAGGCCACCAGCAGCAACACACCAACATTAGCTTATCTACTAAAGCCCAAGCAACGCCTTTCCCTTTTACTTAGAAAAAGGCCTGAGTGTTCAGTCAATTCTGCCCACATAGAAGGGCAGGCAATCAAAGTAGCACTGGCTGCTGCGAAGTAAGAACCCAGACTGCAGCTACAACAGCTCAGTAAGAAGGTGAGAAGAAGGAACAGTGAAGAGAGCCTCCTTCCTCAGCCAAGCCCCGGGCACTTTTCTGTGCTCAGAAGAGGACAGTGTGGCCCCTTTATCTCATCCAGCCTCCAGCAGCCTCTTCCCTGGCAACAGAGAGTTGGGGACAACAGCAGAGAGAAGTAGTTTTCCTACTGTCTACGCCGAGATGGGTGTGGAGGGTTTCTAGGGCTTCCTCATCGAAACGCATCAAAAACTTGGAAGCAGAGCAGCCCTGGATCCCACTGTCTGTGCCGTCACTACAACAAATGCCTGTGCAAGGAGTCTTTATTGCTATTAATAGCACCATTAACTCAATAGGGAGCTGCTCACGGGTATATTTGCAAGATACAACCCTGGGCAGGCTGCTCCCACCAAAAATTCAACGGGTCATAAAACACGCAACACTAACAACAGGAATTTCTTTGATTCTAATTGCAATAATATTATATTTTATTATATATCTGATTAATTCCTGCCCCTATCCAGTGCAACTTCACTACTTCACCCGGTTCCTATATCTATCCTGGAAAGTCCATAATATCTCAGCAGGCATCAGTGGCTCACGCGGTGCTGCCACATGCTTCCCTCTTTCCTCTTCTCCTTGGCACCTCTCGCTACACCCAGCTTCAGGAAACAGATCAGGACTGCCCTGGCATGATGTGACACGCCACCTGAAATCATGCTTCAAGGACGAGTCGGGGGCAAGGAACTGCTCTCTTTCAGACCTTACTCAAGAAAGACAAAACACAAATAGTGAGAACTATTTCTCCGTCACACAACCTTTTCTTACATGCCACTAAGTTACAGTTATTATAAGGGCATAATGAAAATTAAAAATCCCTGCATGAACAGATAACTTCTGCCTACGTTGAAAAGATAAAATCTTTCTAATTTGAATACATCAATTGTTGGGCTTTGCCCAAAGGGAACAGAGTAGATTACACAAGAAAGACACTAAACTCATTAAAGTTTAGCAAGGATAAGTATCTATGATTTTATTTTTGCAGATGCTGGCTAATGCTACAGTAGTTTTTTCAATTCCAGACTACCATGGTGTTGAAAACCAGCATTCAGTCAACAGCTTTACCAGAGTTTTTCTGCAATGACTGCCATTAATCGCCTTCCACAAGTAAGTGTTTGCTTTTGAATAACTCAGTATTTGCAAAACCCATAGGTATTTCGCACAGTAAATATAACAAAGCCTAAAGAAATACCGCACATATGTTGGCAACCTTTTCTTTGAAAGCAAGTTGCTACCTTTAGCAAGGCCACTACCATGTCCTTATTAACCCCCTGCATGCAGTATGTCTGAAAAATCATGCATGCTTATAAAAGCCAGTTGATCCTTTATGAGGTTTCACATTTAGCAATATTCCAAGCTGAGTGATCACTATGTCTTTCTGGGTACTTCAGTTCTCTTTTCCCGAGATAAATAAGCGATGCAGCAATTAATTTATACTTGACTCCTGGGGGAAGAGAGGGATTAATGACAGTGAGGCTAATATGATCCAGTGCTAACACATTTAGAACGACCTTCAGACAACGTATGTGCTATTCGATTTATACCTTCTGACTCTGAGGGCCTTCGCCTTCATCAGAAACACCGTCTTCTTGCTGATCATAAGCAGGCCCTCCCAGGAGCCTTATTCTCTTCTCGCATTGCTTCTTTGCCACTGTCAGCTGGTTAATGTACCTCTTCACATTGCGAGCTCTCAGTAGGTCAGCTTTCATTGCCGCAGCTTCTTTTCCTTTTGAATCTGGGAATAAAGCAAATCAGAGACAGTCTCTTACAACATGAAAACATCACCGCACCATTGCCTCTGTGACCTGCCCGATCAAAGGAACAAAGCAAGTCAGAGACAGTCTCTTACAACATGAAAAGATCACCACACCATTGCCTCTGTGACCTGCCCGATCAAAGCATTTGTCATTCAAGAATCAACTATGCACAAGAACACAGATATTGGAAAGTTTGTATTTGAAACAGAATGACGATTTTGAAACATTCTCCAATGATACCTCATGGGTTTATTTAAAACAGTTAAGAAAAAAAAAATCCTTATTCAAATGTCCACTGAAACCTGACCCCTGCAGCACTCTTCCCATAGCTTGTTGCAAGGCAGAGGCCCAAGACCTGTACTACAGGATGTGCGTTTATCAGATGGCGTTAGGAAGTTACCTACAGCCATGGCGTACAGTAACACGTGGAGCTCAGGGCTTACGTACCTTACTGAACATAACATTGACTGCCTAGAGTCATCAGGGACTGAACATGTTCCCAGCACGACATGTTCCCATACGTCTCATTTGCAAGTACAAATTTCTTGAGCCTGAGGTGAACCGCACATCATACAGTATCTCCTCCAGACAACACCACTGACTGAACCTCACTCAAAAAGGTCAGATAATTAAGAAAAAAAAAATCTGATAATGCCACATCAAGACTGCGCACTACTGTTAAACAGTGAAGTAACATGAAGATGACAGTTGAATAAGACTTGGTAATAAAAGGTGCAATGCTTGTGTATTCTACATTGCAGCCTCTTCAGCTAATTACCAGGGCTTAAAAAAAGAAGCAGCAGATAAAGCAGATTAAAAAACTCCATTGCATTAGAATCACTCCTGTTTTATATCTGCAGGATGCAACTGATTCACATTTGTACACTGGTTTTAATTTCCTCTTGTTCCATGATAACACTCCTGTTTTTACAAAGCTGCAGCTAGAGCTCGGTAGCAAAGTACCTGGCTCGTACTCGGCTCTGGATGAATTGATTGCTCAGGGATAAATAAGAGATCTATTCTACTATGTTTTCAAAATATCAAATTCTAGTAAAATGATGTAGATGAAAACAGCACTCAGCTTTCAAAACAGCTACTGGAAAGAAACAACCAGAGAGCTACGTTTGTGAATGCACGCACAGAAAATGGAAATCTCTTGGGAGTGATTTTAAATAGGTATTTTAAACACACTTCTAATACACTAAGGTACCTTCTCCTTTTAGGACTGTTTTCATCCTTTCATTTCCCCCTCAAAGCCACATGTAACTACTGCCTGTGCCCATAAGTTTTGTCACTTGTGTACTGAAGGACAACTCAAGGTACACAGAGCTCCCTGAAGTTCGATGTGTGAGTACAGATAGTCTCTCAATATCTTTTCCCTTATTTTTAATCTCACTTTATTCACTGCATGTATTTATGTATGTTGGGAGGGAACCTTCCTGATTCAAAAAGACTGTTAACGTTTTAACGGATAAGGATCATTTGCATCTGAGCTGCCATACAATAGTGAGCTACAGAGATGATACTCGCTGAAGCAAATGATAAAATGAGTTTACCATGAAAAAAAAATAAGCCATCTGTTTTCCTGGCATGTTATCTCCACAGTGAATTCAACAGAGCATTTAATTTACTGTTTCAGTTCCCTGACCAGAGGTACCAGTACTGATGAGAAAAAAAGAAAGGAGAATAAAAGGCAGGAAAAGACCTTAAGGACAAAACAGCTCTCCCCTTCAATTTAAAACGTTTACAGCTAATACAAATATATGGACAGTAGCTTAAAGTTAAGATTAAGACACAACATTTCCCCTCCTGCACTGGACTCTAAGATGATTTTTAGAAGTTCTTAATTCTCTCAATAGTTTACATACTTGGGGCTCAAAATGCACACTTGAAATCCCACACTTTGAAAAACCCACGAACAGTGCTACGCAACGATCGTTCAGCCTTCTGAAAACAAAAG